GCGCTGCGCGCAGGAGTGAGTCGGGGCTGGCGGGGCGGGGCCTAATCCCCGGCTCGGCCTGGGGGGTGCTCAGGGCGGCGTGGCAGCGAGGACGCTGGGAGCCAGAGGGACTGAGGCCGCGTGCGGGGATCTGGAGCAGAGCGCGGGGCCGGGGCGGGAGCTGGCGCGTTGGAAAGAGAGCTGGGGTTGAACGCCCCCCGACGACGCACCCATGAACCGGGCAAGTTCTCGTCCCTGAGAATGAGGACTTAGGACGAGGGGGCTGGGTAGGGAGCCGAGGCTGCGAACCGACTGGAGGAAGGAGTTGCCGCAGCGCTCACCGGCCCTCACCCGCCCAGCTCCTTCGCCGTCGGGCTGGGCCTGCACGATCTGGAGGCGCCCCCGGAGCCGGGGAGCCGCGTGCTGCGGGCCACCCTCTCCATCCCGCATCCTGCCTACAACAAGCCCTTCATGGCCAACGACCTCATGCTGGTCAAGTTGAACGAGTCGGTGCCCGTGTCTGACACCATCCGGAACATGGCCGTGGCCTCGCAGTGCCCAGCCGCTGGGGAGCCTTGCCTCATCTCTGGCTGGGGCCTGCTGGCGGATGCTGAGCCCTGCAGCGCGGGTCTGCGGCTTCCAGGGCTTCATTGCCCAGCCGAGGGGCTACCCGGAGCTCTGTGTCCCAGGCAGGATGGCCACAGTGCTCCAGTGCGCGAATGTCTCGGTGGTGTCCGAGGAGGACTGCAGACAGCTCTACGGCCCCGTGTACCACCCCAGCATGCTGTGCGCCGGCGGGGGGCAGGACCAGACGGACTCCTGCAGCGTGAGAGCCAGGGACCAGGGGGGACGTTCCGGGGAGGTGGAGCAGGTGCATGGTGGCAGACACAGGGCAAGTGGGAGAGCGAAGCTGAGAACTAGCCAGGGGGTACAGAGAAGCAAAACAGAGACAGAGAGAGAGAGAGAGAGAGAGAAGGGAGGCAGAGACACACAGAGACCCAGACCCGGAGAGCTAGACTCCGAGATAAAGCACACAGAGAAATAGGGGAGACCCAGACATACAGAGACACCAAGACACACAGAGACAGAGATGGAGAGACAGACGGACCAGCCACAAACCCAGGAGAAGTAGCCAGCCTCAGGACAGAGGCTGCAGAGGGCCTGGGGGACCTCCCAGAGGGCATACTGCTGAGTGTCTCCCAGTCTCATCCGGGTCCTCTCTGACCCACACCTGTCCCCACCTCTCTGCGTTTGTGTCCTGATTCACTGTCTCTCTCCAAAACAGGGTGACTCTGGAGGGCCCCTGGTCTGCAATGGGTCCCTGCAGGGCCTTGTGTCTTTCGGATATGCCAAGTGTGGCCAAATCGGTGTGCCAGGCGTCTACACCAACCTCTGCAAATTCACTGCCTGGATAGAGAAAACCATCCAGAGTAACTAGTTACGGGGCTGAGACCCCTGAGGTTGACCGGGGTTGAGCCTGCTGGAGGGACTCAGGAACCCCAGCTCCCCACCCACGTCTTCAGTTCTAGAATCAGATCCCGTCTAGACTCTCCCTGCACACAGTGCCCCCTGGTGGCACTGTATGGACCCAGCGTCGCCGGGTTCAGAAGGCCGAGTTTTCACCTTTTTGTCCCCTTCCCTGATGCACAAATAAAGCCGAAGAGAAGCACTGGTTCACCTCCGGGTTCTTGCTTCCCTGCCCTGCAGGGATTCCAGCAAATACGACAGCGTTTCCTCCTTGGGTCGCAGTTTCCCTGTCTGGGAGAGGGAAGCGTTGGCCAGGAGGGCTACAGGGTTTCAGAGGGAGGCGCCATTACCTGGGAGGTTAAGAGAAACCAACTCCGGAGAAGGTGCATTTTCTGTAAGTCAAGCCAGCAGCCTGTGGATATATGGAATCCGCTTTCTTAGTTGAACTGCCTGGGGCTGACCTTTTTTTTTTTTTTTTTGGAGAGGTTTTTTGCTATAGGGCACGTGTGCTCGCTAGAAAGACAGAGAGAGACAGAGAGACAGAAAGCGAGAAATCATCCCCAGGAGGGATGGCCATGCCGCAATCCCCTCTCCTCCTTTCTCCTCACGGGATCTTGGGCACGCACGCACACACGCCCAGAGTGAGTTTAAGCCACCAAGTCCGGGACTCAAACCGCAGTCGACTACATGGGAGTCCAACAACATAGCCATTACGCCAAATGCTCCTCCCCAAAATAATTCTTTTTTTTTGCGGGGGGGAGAGGTTTTCGCTATAGGGTGCGTGCACTTGCCAGAAAGACAGAGAGAGAGAGCTAGAAAGCGGGAAATCACCCCCCAGGGGGGATGGCCATGCCACAATCCCTTCTCCTCCATTCTCCTCTTGGGATCTTGGGCACTCACGCACACGTGCCCGGCGTGAGTTTAAGCTGGCGGGCCCGGGACTTGAACTGCAGTCGACTATGTGGGAGTCCAGCAACATAGCCATTATGCCTACTGCTGGTCCACCCAAAATAATTCTTAACATACAATTAAGAAGACAGAAACTGGACCAGCAGTTAGTTTGAATATTCCTTGTGAATATTCAAATTTATTCAAATCGTTACGTCTCTCTTAACACATAGGGGTGGACTAACTAACAGTAAAATAGACACATTCTGGCTCATACAAAGAGACTGTAAGGGACTCTTAGAAAATGATAATACAAACACGACAAAAATGAAGACGGCAGGCCAGCAGGTGGCGTGGAGGTTAAGGTCCTGGCTGTGTGATTTGAGTCCCAGACCCGAGACTTGAAAACACGCCAGGCACGTGTGTGTGCGCCCAAAATCCCAAGAGGAGAATGGAAGAGAAGGGACTGCAGCATGGCCATCCCCACTGGGGGTGGTTTCTCACTTTCTCTCTGTCTCTCTCGCTCTGTGTCTCTGTCTCTGGCAAGTGTATGTAATCTATAGCCAAAAAAAAGAAGAAGAAGAACAAAAGAAAGCAAATGCTCACCAACGTAGCAAGTGGCTAGACAGACTGACAGCGGCGGGACAGGTGTTATTCAGAAAGACATGAGCTGCACAGCGATGCAGACGCATCTCAGAGTCACCTGAGTGAAAGGGGTCAGACCAGAAGCAGCGTAGGCCGGGCGGTTCCAGGGCCACAAATCCCAGGGCAGGCCGGACTCATCTGGGTTGCTGGGATGGGAGGGGGCTCAGGTGTGGGCCTGGACTGGCAAGAGACAGGAGAGACTTTCGGGGGGATTACGCTTTTCTGTGATGTCACAGGCGTGAGGGCTCCTCGGGAGTAGGCTTTATCGAAACTTGCGCTGTACCCTTGAAACCTGCACCCCACACTGGGTACACCTCAGTAAAAATTATGCCTCAATTAAAAAACCACCGGGAGCATTTACAAAAATGAACCAGGTGCTCAACCCTGAAGCAAGTCTGAACACATTTCACAGTTGTGAGGTAGAGCGCGTGCTGTCTGACCACACTGCAATTAGGCTAGAAATCATGACACAATGACAGCCAGAAAATCCCCATGTGTTTTGATTTTTGAGGTGCACTTTTTTAAAAATTCTATTTATTATTTTTTTTTTTGGAGAGGTTTTTGCTACAGGGCGCGTGCGCGCGCCAGACAGAGAGACAGAGAGACAGAAAGTGAGAAATCACCCCCCAGGGGGGATGGCCATGCCGCAATCCCTTCTCCTCCATTCTCCTCTCGGGATCTTGAGCACGCACGCACATGCGCCCAGACTGAGTTTTAAGCCACTGGGTCCGGGATGCAAACCGCGGTCGACTACATGGGAGTCCAGCGACATAGCCATTACACTAACTACTGGTCCCTTATTATTATTCTTAAATTTGCTGTAAGGTACATGAACTAACCAGAGAGAGACAGAGGGAGGTAGAGAGAAAGTGAGAAAGCAAACCTCCAGGTCTGGGACTCAAACTGCAGCCAGCCATGTGAGAGTCCAGTGCCTTAACCACCATACCACCTGCTGGCCCCATAAAGTGCACTTCTAGAGAATCCATGTGTCTTGAGGCCTCATGGTCTCTGGAAGCTGCACTGTCTCTAAGCTTCGCGTGCCGGTGCCTTTGCTCCTAGCTCCTGCTCAGTGCCCCGTGGAGCGCGGCTACCAGGGTGGCTGTCCACTCCCCAGGTGGCTCTGTCCCTCCACCGTCTCTGCCACACAAACACCATGGCTCCCACCTCCGTCAGTGTGTCCTTGCAAAACCTGCCCAAGCAGATGTCTAGAGACGCTGCCTAATGGTCCCTGCAGTGGACAAAACTGCCCCACTTAAGACCCCAGGACCACCCCTGGGTCTGCCCGTCTCCTCCACCCCCAGCTGCACCCCAGCACGCAGGCCAGGGCCGGGGCCTCCAGCTGCGACCAGGTGCATCCTGAGAATCCCGCTGCCTCCCCTTCAGAAAGGCCAGATGAAACTGTCTGATCCTCTCTACTAGTGGCAGGTGGTCGCGGCCCTCCGGTCCCCATAGTGCAGCAGTCGGTGAAGACACCAGGGTAACAGGGTCATCACATACTCTGTGGCCCCAGGAAGTCACTCCTTGAAACACGCCATCACACCTGAGTGCCCCTCCAGTCTCCCTGGAAGCTCAAGAGGGCGTGGGTCAGGAAGGTGAGGGCCCCGGGTCCTGCCCCTGGAACCTCAGCTCTCAGACCTGGGACCCCAGAGCCCTCCTGCACAGGATGCCACAGAGAGGGAGGGACATCAAAGGTCAGCCCTGGCCTGGCCCTGCCCAGTTCCTGGAGACAGGCCACTGGGAAAGGAGCAGGACCCTCTGCAGGACACACCCATCGGGGCTCACCTAGCGGCCCAGCCCCCCAGCACCTCTGACTACCCTCCCATTCAGGGCACCCGGGGAGCCACGGGGAGGGGGGGCTGTGAGCAAGGACAGGCCAGTTCTCAGATTAGAACGAACCACCCAGGCTGGGCTGGGCAAGGAGTGCAGGGGAGAGGCTGAGGGCCAGGAGCCTGTGAGGAAGGCTGGGGTGAGGGTCCAGGTGGGGGCCCGGCCTGGAGCCCCCCAGGTCAGCCCCACCCCGCCCCCGCACCGCCTCCTCCGTGCAGTAGGCTGGCAGGTCAGCGACACCAGAGGGGGCCTGTCGTGCTCGGCCCAGCACCCCCAGAGCTTCGGGCTCCCCCAGAAGTGGGCCCTCACCTGGCCCAGGGCGGGCCCTGCAGGACGGTCCTCCTCTCCCTCGGAGGCCACCTCCCGCCCTGTTCTCCCACCCTGCCCTCCAGCCACACAGGCCCCCTGCTGCTCTCATGTCCCCCAGGCCCTCTCCTCTGGGGCCTCACCCCTGCAGGGCCTCCCAGTCCCTCGCTCCCCCGCTGGCTTCCCCCTCTGCCCCTAGCCGCGCTC